CGCCGCCGCCGCGCAGCGCGCATGCGCCACGGCGGGCCCGAGCCGGTGGGCTCCGTGGCGGCGGGGCGCATGCGCACGGCTTTCCCGCCGCTGCGGCTCTTTGCTGCCCGGCTAGCGGCCAGCCACGGGTGTACGGTGATGCTGCTGTGCCCGCCGAGCCCCTCAGACGAGAACAGCCGAAAGCCGTTGGGAGACATGAGGCGGGATAGAAGGGGAGGGCCCCGCCTCTGGGGTGAGGTGACGGCGGGGCCGGCGCGGCCTGACAGCGGAACTGCCCGCCGGCGGCCGGTGCCCTCAGCGGCCGGGGCTCCCTCTGCCTGGAGATGTGCAGCCGCAGCCCCGAGCCGCGAGAGAGCTTAAAACTCAGCTGCCCCTTCCCGGGGGGGTGCCTGGCCCGGCTGCGGCCTGTGGGAGAGCCCGGGATGGTTGCTTGGCCCCCACCTCCTGGTGAGGCAACACGCGATGGGCTCGGCTCTGAGGCGGCTGTACTTAGTGCCCTAGGAGACATCTGTAACCTGTGCCACGGAGGTGCTGGGAGGGCTGGAGCCCCAGTGCTGTGATGGGGGGGCTGAGAGAGCTGGGGGGTGTCAGCCTGAAGGAGAGAAGGCTCTGGGGAGACCTTGGAGCCCCTTCCAGTCCCTAAAGGGGCTCCAGGAGAGATGGGGAGGAACTCAGGATCAGGGAGGGGAGCCACAGGACGGGGGGAGTGGTTTTAAACTGAAAGAGGGGAGATTGAGATGAGATCTGGGGAAGAAATTCCTTGCTGTGAGGGTGGTGAGAGCCTGGCCCAGGTTATTCAGAGAAGCTGTGGCTGCCCCATCCCTGGAGGAGTTCAAGGCCAGGTTGGAGGGGGCTTGGAGCAACCTGGTCTGGTGGGAGGTGTCCCTGCCCAGGGCAGGGGGGTTGGAACTACATGATCCTTAAGGTCCCTTCCAACCTAAACCATTCTATGATTCTACTCTTTTGCTAAGTGCTACAATGCTGACCTTTAAATATTAAAAAACTAAGCATCTGAGTTAATACCTAACCATTGTCATTTCTCAGAAATTGCAGGCCCAGACATCTCATCATCAGTTTATATTCCAGGTGAGATTTTCAGGCAGTCTTAAGAACAAAAATAACCAGAGAAGAAAGATAAATTATAGATAGCTAAACCAATTTTTTCACGGGTCAGATGCTTACTAGTTTATTTCAGGCTGATGTCATTCTGTAACTTTGAGCAGCTCTGTGTATTTGACCCACTGGGTTATTTCCCTGATACTATCAACCATCTCCCACATTGTTGCCCACACCATAATTTCATGCTCACCAGTCCCTCAGTATCACTATACCCACCTATGTCATTCTCCCAGTTTCCATTTCCCCATTTTGAATCTCCATCCTTCACCCGTGTCCTTCCAAGGCTGTTTAACGTGTTCTCTCCTTTCTTAATCCCTGTTGCCATGGTCATTTCTGCTGTTTCTTTAACTTGGGAGTTTGTCATTTCCTCATTTCCATCTTTAGTCTCATTCTTTCCATAGCACAACTCTCCCACAGCTACATGCCATTTTCTCTGCTTCATTACCCTCTTCAGGCCTTTGAGGGTCACTTTGACAGTCCCCATTTTCTCTTGTGTGTGTATATATACATATATATATATAAAGGTTCTCTTGGTTCTATAAACTCTGGCTGGGCATTAGGTTGATGTGTCGGTTCCTGGCACTGAAAAAATTGAGTACACAAAGCAGATGTTTCTGAGCTCTCTGCCGCATTTTGGATATTGTTGACCTTTTCCTTAATGGTACCCTGGTACCCAGCATTTGAAGCTTTTTGCTGTCTGTAGCAGCAAGGACATAATAGAATAACCCTACAATAATAAGAAATAGTTAAATCCACATAGTTTGGGAATGCAGTCAGATTTTGCAGGTTGCTTTGGTATTAGTAGAGCCACCATATGTGTGAGTAGATTTCTGTTCCAGGCTAGGTGTTTTGCTCGATATTACCACTTCATTTGCCTTTTGGGCCCTCTCCAGCTGTCCTGTGCTTTTGCTGGAGCGCAAGAGAAGGAGAATGGTGCAGGTCCTGTATTAAAGCTCAAAAGCATGGTTTTGCTTTTAGTGAACAGTGGCAGTGAGAGCTGATGAACATCATATTCCTTTTGCGGCAGCAGCTCCTAATTTTCCAGTGACTGAGACTAATCATAATTATTAGAAATCAAGCAAAAGAAAGTTTTAGATACCCTTGGTCTTTGGAGGAGATGGCAATTTTGTTTCTCACAGAAAGTTGTCATTTCTGGCTAGGATACATCACAGTGCAAGTGCTTGCATGGGACTGTGAATGGTTTTCCTCCTGCAGTAATATAACGTAAGGAATTTTGTCTCCAGGTTTTTCCACTTAATCCATACTGAAAGTTACTGAAAAAATATTTAAAATGTAATCTTGTGGGGCTTTAATGCTTCCCAGGTACCGGTTAGGCACAATGTTCTTTGTTAACAGTGTCAGTGTAATGCAAGAAATGTGAGCTGCAACAGAAATGGTTGATGAGACATGAACACCGTCTCTGAAGGCAGAAAAATGGAATATGCTCAAGTCAGTCTTGGATAAAGAAAACTAAAAGGAAGTACTGTAATAACTAGCAGACTAGATAGGCAATAGTTATACTCAGTTATCTAGGAACATCTACCTTCAGTCACTTTGGAGTAGGAGAATAATTCATACAACTGTGATCCATTTCAGAAAGTTGAAACGATGAAAATATCCCAACTTCTGCTCCTTAACTCTTTCTGTACCTAGTACTCTGGAAAAAGAATTGCTGCTTGCTAGAGGAAAATTAAAACCTTTTTACATTTGATGCTGGTGAAGATCCTGAAGATCCCCTGGAATGTAAAAGACAAATGTGTATGTTGCTATTGTTATTATGGAAAAATATTGGAAAATAAATACCAGTGAGCACAAACTTACATACTTTTCTCACTTGGAATGGAATTGTAAAGGTCACTCCAAAACCTAAACACAGCCAAGAACGAGAGGTCACATGTCTCATAACAAACTTTATGCCAGATTTCCGAGAATGGCGCAGGGGCTCGCGTTCTCATTACTCATTAAAAACGCAGTACATTCTTCGGCAGCAAAACAGAGCTGGGAAAAACGCTGGGGAGGGGCTGTGCCATTTGAGTTGAAAAGAGAGGCCCTAACCCCGAGCAGGGCTGCAAAAAGCCCTTTCACCGTAACGAGGCCCGAGCCCGGGCCGCCAGTCACCCGGTTCCGCCCGCGCCGAGCTTTGTGGCCGCTGCCGGACTCGAACCCGGTGACACAGCCGGGCCGCGCTCCGCCCCCGCCCTCCCCCGGCCCCGCCCCCCCGCGCCTGACGCGCTCCTGCGCCCTGGCGACCATTGTTCCATTTCAAACACACGCCCCGCCCCGGCAGCCGCTCAGCGCGCGCGCGGCCATACGGCTGGAGATGGGACGCGGGATGGGCCCGATACGGGCCTCGCGGGCGCGCGCAGTGGCGGGACGCGGTGAGGGCGCGCATGCGCGGCAGGAGGCGGGCGGCTCTGCCTCCGCCCCGCTTCCCGCGCATGCGCGCTGCGCGGCG